GTGGTAAAGAGTGATTCTACCAGCCACATGGAAAAATTCTCCTCTAAGTCACACTCCATACACTAGCATGAAGAATCCTAGTCCTTGTTGTAGTGACAACATGAGCTGAGTGGTCTGGGGTTTGTCTGTGCAAGCCATGGCTTTGAGAAAGCCTCCAGTGGGCCGTGGTGACCTTTGAATTTTAAAACCATTACAGAGCGGGTATACTACACTTAGTTTCCTTCTTTCAAGTTCCTGCCTGAAATGATCTTTTGATGGCATGAAAACAGTTGCTTGTATTGTATTGATTGCTTTTATTTAAAGATGGCTCTTACCCTCAGCCACTGACAGAGACCTACACATTTCTTTCCATTGGCCTGTAAGTTTCAGAAGGCAGAATGCTGTCCTGCCCTTGTACTGTGCACATCACATGGTAGGGGCTCAATCACCTGACACATGAATATACATCCGGTGACTGCTCTCTATGACTTGTGGAGGATTAACATCCACAGCTTTATATCCTGCATACTAGACTAACTCTGGAGCATACAATTAAAATACTAGGGCAAGTTGCTAATCATATATATCCCAGCACATAAATATGTAAGTTTCAATTTTTCATGCAAATTACCCAGCTATAAGGTGGGGGCATTAGATTAATGATTTTGAGCCAGCTGATCTGAATGTTATAAGATCATTTAGTGTGAAACTTAAGTTTTTCCTACTTGGAAACAAGTTATCCCCAATATGCAGAACTGGAACTGGTTCTGCATATTACAAGATGGGAACTTGAACCAAGGTCTACTAACAAGTCTAGACACTGACTCAGTTATAGACATTAGAGTTTAGTCATTAGGAGTATATTTTTTTTTTTGTTTTTTGAGACAGGGTCTCACTATGTAGTTGACACTGACCTGAACTCACTATACAGCCCAGGCTGGTCTCCAACTCACAGCAATCCTCCTGCCTCAGCCTCCCGAGTGCTGGGATTACAGGCATGCGCCACCATGCCCGGCCAGAAGTAAATTTTTAAAGTATTCTTTGAAATTCTGTATTCTTAAAATTAAGTCTTAGACCAAGGGCAAACAAATAGTGTAACTTTTTATTTGCTGCAATTCATTCCCTTCTCTAATGTTTGAAAACAAACAAATAACAAAAAGCATGGGTTTTCATTTAAGTACTTACAACCTTGTGGCGGTTGTCACAAATCCTTCTGACCTAATTTGACTCATATCATCTCGACGCCCATATCACATCTCTCAACAATGAAAGGAGCTATTATTCTATTACCTTCTTTAGCAGTTAGTGTGGTTCTCATCTATACTTCATAAAGGTTTGCATACTACATCCCTTGAACCTGATAGGTAGGCATACAAACCCAGTAACTCCAAGTTCTGTTCTGACCACATCTGTGTGTGACCTGGTTCAGGAGTAGAGGATTCAGGAACGGCAGAACTGCTCAAGTTTTCATAGCTCCATGACTCTTCCCGCCTTTATCAAGTCCTCACCTCCCACTGATTCCTAACCATTCCCAAGCTACAGCCAACAGAATCTAGGCTCCACTTCTTATCTTACCTGACTCTGCTTCTCCTGTTTTCATTACTACCTTCAGAATCCTGTGCCTACATATTCATTCTCAGAAAAGCCTGCTCTCGAGTTCCATGGCTTTAGCTACTGATTCTTCTGCTTTACCTGGTCTGATCTAAACCTCCCTTATCCTTTCTTAATCGCTCCCCCAAGCGCTACTTATAATATACAATTTTCTACTATCTTAACAAAGGCAGCATAAAACAGTTTCAGATATGCCACCAGCTATATCAAACAACCTCATCTCTTTAGGTTCAGTTTTCTCATGGTGAAATGTGAGCTTAAGTAAAAGAGAAAACCTTTGAGGAAGAAAGAACTAACATTTTCTGGAGACTTATTCTGTGGGAGGCAGACACTGTACCTTTGGGCGATCTTCTTGCAATAGTAAAGGAGGGGAGGGATAGTCACTTGTGTGCTCCAGATAAAGAATATAAAGGTCAGAACAGTCAGATGAGCATATATAGGGCTTCCTGGTCTCAGCAGAAGGAAAGGCCCAGCCTCTGCCACAGCTCTCCCTCCTGGAACCCTTCAAGCATCAAAATGCTCTTGTCTGTCCTTCCCTTAAGGACAGCACCAGAGCCTGGGCCCAATCCCACAAGGATTCAAGCCACTCCAGGAAAGATCACCCGCACTAACTGGGATATAGGGCTGTCAATCTCAGCGGATAAGCTGGGACAAGCAGACACAGGAAATCTCACGCATTAAATATGAAAGTATTTTAAAAACAAGTAAATCAATCAACCCCACAAAACCTGCTTCGTCCTCTGCTCACAGTACAGACCTTCAGAAGATGAATGCTATTCTCTGACTGGCAGGGAAAGCTGGCTTTCGGGTCAATGCTGCAGATTGTGAGCAGCAACCGTAGACAGAGGGAAGGGGTCGGGAAATGTGGGCCTGGATCAAACCATGCTCACAAATTCAAGGCAGGCTCTTTGCATTCTGGTCCCGACACCGTCTGCCCCATCCATGCTACTGAAGGTTATTGCCACCTTTTCTTCATAGGCTCAAAGCACAAGCGCTAATACTCTTAGACCCTGAGGGTCCAGAGGAAATTTCAGAAGGTGTAACTTATATAGAAGCTCTATGCTGCTGCTATAGAAAAGTGGGGCTAGAAAATAGACAGCGTGGGGCATGATGAGAAGCGGCCATACCAAAAAGTGAAGCCTCTTCTCATTTTAACACTCATGGAAAGCTAATAGAAGCTGAAGAAGCTAAGGAAGAAGGAAATAGAACCTTTATGAGAGAGGGGAGGAAAGGAAGGGGTAGGAAATGACCAATGGCGTTCACTTGTTTTCAAAGTAGGATCGAAGTGACATTTCATTCTAGAAGTCAGCTCCTAAAACAGTATCAGATACACAGGGATTTCATCATATCATATGAAAGGGAATTCCTTTTTTCCCTGAGATACAGGTCCATGCAATAGTGCTAACTACCTATATCAACACACCTATAATTAATAAGCACCACAACTCCACAGCACTTTTAAATTTAAATGTTTACATCATTTTAAAAGCAACATCAGTATCTTAGAAATCTAAGACCTATAAATTCTGCAAATCAGAGCTAGATTTATAAGAGAAAAGTCAGAATACCTGTATTCATATACTGGATAGTAAAATTATAGATTTTCATTTTCTTTTTGCTAATCTGTAATTTTATTTTATTTATTTTTTTTTTGTTTGTTTGTTTGTTTTGGTTTTTTGAGACAGGGTCTCACCATGTAGTTAAGACTGACCTGGAACTCACTATGCAGCCCAGGCTGGTCTCGAACTCACAGCGATCCTCCTGCCTCAGCCTCCTGAGTGCTGGGATCACAGGTGTGCGCCACCATGCCCGGCTTGTAATTTTAAATTGTTCTACAGAGAATGTATATAATTATTTTATTAAGACATAATAAACTTTATGCTAAGCTGGAACTTAAATACCACATTGTAAGAGCTTCCACAAGCTCTCATATAAGAACTAGGCATTTCATTACTGCTAAACTATAAACATTTAAACTTGGCACTTTCCAACTACCCTCCTCATGGTGATGGCAAAACTATTGTGGTACTCCAGCTGCTCTGCAGAAAAGGAGGAATGCCAAAAGCTCACACCAATCTAGCAGGCAAGGTCAAACTCTTATCCTTATGGGCATATGATCAGCTGAAATAGGATATTAAGGTATGTATCTTTACCTTCTCAATAGAAGTAAAGTATAAAGCCAACTTTTCTTGGCAGTTCAGTCGTTCTGTATTTACTATGTATATATGACATGAATTAGACTGATGTATCCTTTATATATTTTAGGAATTCATCTAAAACGAATCCAAGAACTCACCTAAAATAAAACAAAAAACTAATGCCCTATTAATAACAAAAATCAAGCCAGGAATTGTACATTCGGCCCCTAGGGTAATCAATGTAGAGGAAATAGGGAAGGCCTTGCACCTCTCCATCTAAAAGCAGTAAATAAGGCAATTCTGTGTTTCAAAACATCCTTCTGCATATATGTTGAATGTAATAAATACTGAAAATTAATTCTTAAGTAGAGGAAAGCAAGCAATTACAAAGCAACAAGAAGGTGAAGCATCAAAGTGACACTGAGAAGCTTTTTCATTTTTGAGATTTTTGGTTTTTGTTTGTTAATAAACCTTGAAAAGAGACTAAGAAGGGAAGAAGGTAGGAACACTAAGGAAGATAATGCTAAAAGAGTCTTAAGGTAGCTCTATGCCGGGGTGGCAAACCTATGGCAAAGCCATGGCAGGCTGTTTGTTATCATCGAAAACTCTAAAAGTTTTGCCATCACTCCTCTATGCCATCCCAGCTTAAAGCCCTAATTATGCACATCCTACTTTAATTTCCAGTAACTAGGAAAGCATGACCTTCAGTCTGCCCATATCACATGTAACCATGGCACCCAGCAATTAAAGCTTAGATGCCTCTTGACTGTTGTTTCTTTGTTTCCTATCCTAAATGCTGCAGCCATGTTACTCTGAAAAGTTTTTACTCTTGTCTTTTGTGAAGTCTCAGAGTTCCTTTCAGCAGTTTGAGAGTGGTTTCTAAGTATCAGATGTGCCACAAAAGTATAATTCTTCCTGTAACATTTGATGATTCTCTTTGTTGCCAGAATATCCCATGTGTTAGGGCAGAAATTCTATGCTGTCGTTTCCCACCAGTGAATTCTCTGTACATACCACAGAGACTAGAGCAACGGAAAAGCTCATGATGATTTCTGGAATGATCTTCTGTGTGACTGTGAGGGCACAACCAACTTACCTTTGTCTCTGTGTCTTTTGGCCCTACTTCTGTTTGTTGACTGATGTTTACAAAGTATCCTCACAGATAAATACTTAGTTGTGATTGTGACTTTGGTCACTATTACCTTCAACAGGGCTTTCCTAATCAGGGGAAACTCAGAGAAAACTCAGGATGCAGGCTGGGCCCCCACTTACCGCCACTTCCACTGACTGCATGGAGAGGTCACATGGTGGCTTCAGGGCCTTGGGCCTCGTGGCGTACCAGAAAGTAGTGAGTGCAGCAAAAGCTCCGAAGCCCATAAGTGTGTTGGTAGGAAGGGTGCGCACGTACTGCCGGATGTCAACCAGCTCTGGCAATCGAAAATACTGGAATAACTCATGGGCTTGCATGGTCCTGCGCTGATGGTTCCCTAGGATGAATTCTGTCAGAAGAGAAAAATGTCATATTCATCCCCAGGAAGCAGAACTCCTTTCCAGAATTCCCAAAGGTCAACCACCTAACTCAGTGTAGCTGGCTGATCAATCAAGGCATTAAATCTACAGTCTAATGGTCTAGGTCTTTTTCTGGCTCTCAAACTTTCTCTTTCTACAAACACTTCAGGAATTTACTTCTGATCTATCTCTGCATTATCTTGTATAAAAGGAAAACAATGATCTTACTTTCATTAGCCACGTTAAAACAATTTTACACATAGGGAATGCTTGCCATATCGCTTCTCGGCCTTTTGGCTAAGGTCAAGTGGCGAATGCTTGCCATAAAATGCTCACAGGTAAGTGGTACACAATTCTACTTTCTTCCCTTACAGTACTGCCTAATCGAATGCACGCAACTCTCATTATCAAGGTTAATGGGGATACAAGTGAAGAGGAAAAAATAAGCCCAATATGCCTAAGAGCTTATGTTTCTATTTCTTCCAAGAGATCTCAGAACAAGTTTTCCAACTGGTAAAACAGACCAAGCTAAATTTCAACACTTCTCTCACCTTTCCCGTACTTTTCGAAAGTGATATGTAAGTGTGAGGAAACCACAGGTGGCCATTATGACTAGACCATTTTAAAAATATTCCCCAAGATACTATATTTAACATAAATGAATTAGTGTGTATAAACTTTAAACCAAGTAGCAAATATCTAGAGAGAATTTTTAATGCAGTAGTTGAGAAAAAGTACAAAAAAGTAATTAAGATCCTAGATCTGGAATCAAATCCTGATCTACAGCTTATCAGCTATATAATTTGCCACAAATTACTCCCCTATGCCTATTTCCTCATCTATAAATGGAGATGAAAACATTATCCATCTCCCTGGACTTTTGCAATTATTAAATGATTCACATAAAGACCTTAGGATGGTTCCATACACAAGTTAAGTGCTCAATATAAATGTCAGATATTGTTGTCATTTATTCTACCAATGCTCCTGTGATTTATCCTAAGTGCAGAACAGTAAGTAACTCAGGTAATAAAAAATGATGCCTACAGTTTACAAATAAAATTAAGAAGCCAAAACACACAGATGAAAATTAGATGAATAATGTGATACACATATCAAAGCCCCAAATTGAATGTTATAATTTACATATAGACTAGTCTAAAATTAAATGTGCAGTACAAACAGGAATAATCCTAAATTAAAAATTATCGATGAATAACTACTCTAAAATTTGGCAGCAAAATAAGGGAAATAACAGAAATGAGCTAGAAGACTTTTTTTTCAAATACTTCTTGGCAATGCAACAAGTACTCACATTGTAAGTTCAGACAGTATTTAGATGGTATTTGTGAGCTACTTACTATATAATCTTTTTAATAGCTAAGTCACAAAACTGAAAAGACTTTCTCTTTTAAAATATAGAAATCTTGGATTTAAATTTAAATCTATATTACATATATAGAGTAGCACTGCGTTGGGCTATTTTTATTGACCAGTAATATCACGGGACCCAATATAATGCATTTGCCCAGCTCAGTCAGTCTTGTGCTACCATGGCTCTGGATTCAACACACACACACACACACACACACACACACACACACACACACACACACACACAGAATGTCAAGGTTTGAAATGACAACTGAGAACAGATAAGTAAATGTCTTCAGGTTATAATTCTAGACAGAAAGAACCAGCACTTACAAAAGTACTCGCCATCTGTGCCACCAACAGCTGACTGCTAGGTGACAGGCTACTGCAGAAGCAGAAAAGGGTGGTGAAGCTGGGGGTGGGGCAGGGGCTAGAAGAGCTCAGCCAGAGCTTACCCAGCCTGCCAAGGTCTTTTAGGGCATTAGTCACATGCCGAGTCCTACACTGCTGCCCACTGGGCTAAAGGTAACTAGCAGACAAAATCCATACTTGACTTCTCAGGAGAGCAGAGGGTGGAAGATGGGCCAATGAGGAGCTGGGAGCAGAGTCACCCCACTGCTCCACCCATGGGCAGGGAACAGCACCAGTGAGCGTGTTGCCGCCAGCACCAGTTCTGCAAACAGACACTGTTTTCTTTCTGCTCAGCTTCCCAATAGCAAGAAACAATAGGCATATTTGTAAATCACTGAAGGAAGGATAGGATGTTGGGTGTTGTGTCTAACCAACATGAGGCATACCCAGAAAGAAAGAGACTGCCAAGAGTACATTCACAGCAGATCTATTCTAAATTAATTTATAGGAATCGAGCTATTTCTGTCACTTTGCATATATGAGTGCCTAGTGTATGCCAGGCACTGTGCTAGGAGCTGGACAGACAGACAGTGCTAATGACAGGCTGAGCTTTCAGTAGGCTATCCATCTAAATGAGAAGATATGAAAGTAAACAGGCAAGGTCTGCCGGGCATCAGAGGGAGATTTCAAGGATAAGCAGACAAATCAAGTCCAGATCTTCTTGGCACTGAGCGGTAACAATGCACACAGTACAGCAACTCTACAAATCAAACAACCCTCAAAATCAAATGCACAAACTTTCCCTGCCCTCAAATCATTCCCACCTTCTATTCTGTCTTATCCCGCAACACCCCAAGTCTGAACAGGAATATCTACCCCTTATATACACACCTTTGCCCTTTTCCCTTCTTTCCCTAAAGTCCCTGAAGCCATTTCCATAAAATCTAGATTGTGTGGATTTACAGGGCTGTTAAATAGAATCGCATCTCTGAGCGAAACAGCCAAATAATTCCTCTCCAAACAAATATAATCATACACACGGAGTTAATCTGTTTAGGTTAAGCAGCAGCAGCCAAACCATGAGCTGCATCATGCTAACAAAGTTTAAGGAAAAAAAAATTTTAAAACTTCAAAAAATTACAAATTTAAAAGCATGCATGCAAGAACATTTTATTAGATATGAATGTATAACACTAAACATTTAAATCCAGCCAAATTCTTACATTTAGTGGATAACGACATGTGATGGCAGTTTCATCCTTGCCTCTTAGCTGGCAGCAGGGTAAGAAGCTGCCATCAACTACACTCAGCAAACTGGTTAATGCCTTGCATAGGAAAACACAGTCTATACAAGAAGAACTAAGGCAGTGCCTCATTCAGATCCATGTAAAGAACAAAATTCTTAAGCATCGAATGGACGGAATTAAAAATCTTTTCCCCTCTGTTTACCTGCTGTTAAGGAAAAGATATACGGTTATTTTAAAATGGAAGCACATCACACATTAAAAAAACTGGACATATTAACCTTTATAGGGTATATGTGAATATAAACATCATATTTTAAGATTCAGTCCTAACTAATCTCTAAGAAGCTGTAAGATTAATGTACTTACTCAAAAACAGGTTTTTCTGTATTTCAATGGTGTTGTTGGATTTTCAAAAATTCAAAAATTCTTTACAAAAAAATTTCCATATCATCATCTAAGGAAGTAAATATCCCAGGCCCGTAAATCACACTACTGTTGCTAAGCATATGACTCAATGGGCTTAAAGGCTTAGTAAGCTAGTGTTCTCCACAGAGAACACACAAGTCTACTGACAGTCAGCTTCTCCTTCCTCTACACTTACTCCTGAGCACCTTTCTTCCCACCATTCATAAAAAGTGTTTGTTCAGCTGGTTCTTGGAATTGCCTATAAAGCTGGAATCGTGAACCATAGCACAGCAGGAACATAACAATAATCAGGGAAATCAGGTACAAGCCCTGCATAAAGAACCAGAGGAAGCAGAAGATGCCTTTAAATAGATGTGGATAGAAGTAAAGGTAGCAGGGTGGGGGAAATAGAAACTGGATGGCTCAACTTCCAGAAAAAAGAAATTCTTGCTAACATTCAGCATTTCCTTAGTGTTTTGGAAACATTTTCACATCTTGGAGGTCTTGGAACGTAACAATAGTAAAAATGATGAGGAAATTAAGGCCAGAGACTTAAAAGGCTTCTCCAAGGTGTTTGTCAGGAACACTCTGAGTCAAAATCCAATCTACATGAATGACCTCTGTGGGGCCACTGACTTTATCCACTGAGAATATCCACATAGTTATCTGAACAAGACCCCTTCAGCCCACCTCAGATTAGGAACCACGAGATCAGGCTCTGAAGGCCCTTCCATGCTTTTGTGAGATCCACCTAAACTCCCCATGTCTTACATAAATGCCATCACCCAGGCCCCTGCACATGTGGGTTCACAGCCCACACCTCTTACCACTATGTTTACATTATGAAAAGAGTGGTCAAAGTCAGAGGAGACTCACATGGGCATCATTCTCAAAGGACACAGATAGACAGACAGACAGACAGACACCTCTTAAAATGCTGCAAATTTTTACTTACGTTAGCATTTTATTTTCTTCTCATCATTTACAAACCATAAAACAGGTGATCCGGATGTTTGTTTGTTTTTTTTTTTTTCCTTCTGAAGTTCGTCAAGCTTTCATCAAGCTAAATAACAGCAGTCTCATGGAATGTTTCACTAAGAATGCAGACCTCAAACAAACCCACATAAATAGCATCCTTGCCCCGGCACCAGCAAATTAAGAAATCCTGACATCTTTCCTTAATGCAGCAAGCCAAGCTGGCAAGATGCTGCCATTCCTTGCTCCACCTCTCCCCTTATACAATGGGCTATTTACAGAAGACTGAAAGTGCCCTCTTTGTCCAGCACTGCCTGGGCAGAGCTTGAACCTCTGGGAGAAACAAGAGAGCAGCAGCTAGGCCATTTGCTGTGCTTTCAATCTGCCACTCCAAAACTGTCAGATTCATGCTCCTTAACCCTGGCTGGCAAATTACCTAACACTAGATTTGCTTAAGACATTGCCTCTTGAACCAAAAGAGCAGTCAGGCTGTCCCTAGAGAGGGAGGGAGGAACATAAGTTACAAGGGATGCCAAAGTCTCTCAGAGAGGAAGGCAGAGGCCAAGTCCAAACCCCACCTCATCGGAATCTGCAACTGTGGTTGCTGCCCTTGACCCATCACACTCTCAGTGTAAGAAGGGGAAAGACTGCTTGGCTAACTGGTATCCCGTGCACAAATGAGCAAGTGGTTCCACAGAGAATTATTCCCACCCACTGTCTTGGGTTTTTTTTCAACTAAGTGTAATGAGCCTTAAAGCAGTGGGTTTTTCATTTTTATTAAACTGATCCTATAGATTACTAATTCAGTGCAGATTTGAAAAGGAGAAATAAAATAGAGATGCCCTGTATTTATAAATTTGATTTTATAAAACTTTCAAGTTGAATATTTCTATACAGTACTTACACCACTCCCTGCTCATCCTTCCTACAGTTGTCCACAGGAAGATGCAAAGCTTTTAAGAACAAGTATAAATACTAATTTTTTAACTAATAAGATTAGGGCCACATTTCACTCTCATATTGGCCACAGGGCACAATTATCATATTCACCCCCCTCCCAAAAGATGCCACTTGAAGGATAAATTTTTTCCCACTTGAAAAGATAAATTTTTAAAGATGAGATAATCAAATATTTACTTATAGTACTCTCTGTATTCATTAAACTTCATATATTTAAGTGACACAACAAAACAGATTACTTTGGAAATACTGTTTTGTAAATTCACAGTTGAGCCAGGCATGATGGCACATGCCTGTGACCCTGGCATTCAGGTGGCTGAGGCAGGCGTACCATACGGGGAGGCCAGCCTGGGCTACATAATGAGACCCTGACTCAAAAAAACAAAACAAACGAACAAATACATTTACAATTCATTAACATTTTATTCAAATTATTTGACCATGCATCTTCAAACAAGGTCTTAGGCATCTTTAGTTACTTTGAAATATCCAGCAGGTTTCTATGAGGTTTCTTCACATTCTTTTCTTCCATTTAAGTTGAAGCATTTTTAAAAATCGTGTATGTAGCTATTACATTAAAAAAAAAATCTTCCAAGTCTATAAGAGCACATTCAAATACTAGGATAGTAAAGAATTTTGTCCTATGGCTCCACATTGATATAACTAAACCTCACATATTATCACTTTTAAATCTGATATTTAAATATCTAACACTTGCTTTTTGTAGGGTCAACTCCCCTTGTATTACGGCATAAAAATGATTTCTTATTTATATGTGAATAAAAACAGGAAAATTTGCAGACTGGTTCCTGAGGTTTGGCCATAAAACACATAACATAAATGCACACATTCAAGAGCAAAGCAGTGGTAAGTGCAGAAGAGACCGTGAAGGCAGCAGATGCTTCCAAGGAATTCTGCACGGGGTGGGCACCTGCTGAGATGGTCCTTAAAGGATAAGTGCAATCTACGAAAATGAACTATGCTCTACGCAGTAGGAACCGAAACGAGATTATGAGAAGCTAACCCTATGCCAGCATGAATATTTACTGGCAAATTAAGAGTTATATTGGAAGGGAGAGGGGAAGAAAGGCATTCAGGGAAATCAGCTGAGCCACAATTTCCTTACATCACTGCTGGATAAGCAAGTACAATGCATCAGGCAACATGCTAAAAAATCACACACAAGGCTAACGGCAGTCGTCATAGTAGCCTTTATTTCTGTGTGAGGTTCTGATTGCCTTCAATTCAAAGAGCAGGACGCTGTGCTTAGGAGTTAAATGTCCTGCTCCTGGGCTGTGCAAGAAAGGACTAGAGCCCAGGTCTGAAGCCAGTGCTCATGGATCTGGAAAGCCAAGTACTGTGGCATGTTTCTGGTGATTTAAGCCAGACAGAAGTGGGAGGCCATGATAATGGCATCGAAAAGCCACAATACAGAGTTGTTGAAAGCCAGAATATGAACACATATGCCCATCTACAGATAAAAGAATAAATAAAATGTGGTATATACCTACA